TCTAAATTCTGTACCTATTAAAGTCGAGAAAACAATTTTTTTTCAGTATTATACGGAGTCATAAAAACATGTATCAATCTATTATGGACATGTGTAGCCATAGTGTCTTAAAATTTGGTTGCGAGTTTGGTACTGGCAGAGCATCCAAGGTGCAGCTTGAAAGTGCAAACTACATATGTGCTATCACTATGTACCGATTGATATTACTAATTTTATTTACCCATATAGTTTAGGATACCATCACAATATGTACCCACTTATCAACTTTTTAATATCAAAGTGTTTGTATTAGGTTGTATACAAGTATAATCTTCCCTTTTACACAAACATAACGAACAATTGTCACCAAATAATATCATACACCAGCTATGCGCATAGAATCGACACGTGAATGAAAAGTAATTAGCGGAATCATAATAGAAATATGTATGGTTAGGTACTTAGAGACACATGAAACGAACGATATCACACAAATCACAGCGTCAACAATGAGTACAGATGTAAACAGATCGCGGTAGTCATCTGGAAATAGTTCGCCCACATCTTGTCGCTGAGGAGATGGCGGGAGGCTGGGATGTTCGACGTGCGCGTAAGTAGGTCGGCTCTCAGCTGTGACCACTCTTTTGTCTCTCACATGAATGAGACGAGCTCAATGAGTGCTTGTATTAACTATATCCACCCACACTGTATTATGTAACCTAGTAAGGAGAATGATAGACAAAAACTTAGGGGCCGTTTTTATCGACGGAGTTTTATGTAATGAATGTAATGAATTCCTAATTAATCTAATATATTCTTTTGCAATTTTTGCGCGATATTGTAATATAAATTGTCTTTTAATGTACTATAGATAATGGTACCGAATCCTTCGTGCGCGAGTCCGAATCGCGCTTGGCCTGTATTTTGTACTCCTAATACTACCTACCCAATATTAAATGTGCATTCATACCATTTTTTATTAATGTAATAAAGTAACTCCGTTAGCAATTTCAATATTGTCATGCAGGCATACAACGCATAGATTCAAACCTCTGTGTTTTAAGATGCGATTGACCACAACATTATAATTGTAGTTCTTAAAACTGGTAATAATAATAATAAAAGAAAAACTTCTCACAAGGCCATATCATCTTTTACACCATCTCATCATGTCACGGTCTCTTTCTATATTCTTAAAGTAAATCTAAGTTACTTTATTGTCAAGCTTATCAGCGTCAGTTCAGTCTTAACGTCATTACTTATTACTTTATTTGTTATGTGGTCGTAAAGTGTCACTATCTCTAACAACTATACATATGCGTTTGTAGACTATCTTGGGCGAGTCAAGTTTTCGGCCCAGATAAGTGCAGGGCTGATAACTTTTCGTGCCGTTTTGTCCTGTATGTAAGTCACTGCCAATAACGTTAGGCGGGTGTTCTATCAAGCTGGGGCAATACTGCAATCATACGGAGCAAATTTTTGGTTTTGTGAACGCTTAGGGCAACTGTTTGTGTTGGTTTTAAGACGCAAACTACAAAATTAGTCCAAATAACCCACAAGTTTGCGACACGTAGAGAAATTAAATGTGACATGAAATCTTGAAGAAACAGTTATTAAGACTTGCAAAGATATTTTGCGCCCAAGTGTCCAATAATTTAAACCATCAAAGTACGCTATAGATAGAAATTTGTAAAAGTAACTCTGTCAATTTTACGACATTGCGAACAACAACTATACTAACTCTGTTTGAAATACTAAACTAGCGGCCGCCGACGACTTCGTCCGTGTTAAATTTAGTTTTTTTAGAATCCTACAGGAACTTTTGATTTTTCCAGTATAAAAAGTATGTCCTATGTTTCAATCCAAGTCATGAAATATATGCGTACCAAAGGAGACTGAAACGATTACATACAATCTTGGGCCCAGGTGTAAGAAGATAAAAGTGGTGTCATTTAAAGCTTATATATTATCAACTTTTCACTAAAAATTCTGCGGTTTTTGTCAATCTGAGAACAGAGATATAAGAGATTAAGTAAAAGTGAAGTTATGTTCGTAGATTAAAACAAAAAGGGAAGATACGGCATTAGCGGCTCAAAAGTGATCCGCTTAAATTGTGGTCCACGACCATAATTCGCTTTAGTCACATTTTGACATTCAAACACGCTGCATGTACACTCAATATAACAATATTGCGTATATTCTGTGTTATGAAGATATAGCAATGCCTTCGATACTTTTCATTCGTAAAACTGTTTTTTCGCGAAAAATCACGGTTTGTCGTGAATATTATTTACGTAATCGCCATTTTGTAAGCAAAAAAAGGCCAACAGTACGCTGCGTTGAAGCGTATAGTTCTGTCTCGCTCGCTCGATTGATGTTTATATACAGACGTGTGCGTGGCGAGAGTTGCTTATGTAGTTGAGTCGGATCATATTTTATTTGATGCTAGTATGAGCGTACCGTATCTACCCTTTTTGTTTTAATCTAAGGTTATGTTACAATCTTTAAGTAACAGCTCATTCGTGAAGTGCAAAATGTGTTCTTTTGCACTAATAGTTATTATATTTACTAGAACATGTTTGAAAAATCATATGAGTGAACGTCAACGACTTCAAGCGATAAGTAGGTAACAGATAAGGAGATAGGGAAAAGATGTCTAAAATAAAAAAAAAACATTTAATATAGTGTTTTATTCGTCTTCTATTATAATTAAAATGTCGCCTAGAAATTGTGCAGGTGTGAAGTAGGTATGGGTTCGCGATGCAAGACGGCAAACATTACAGAGGCCTAGTGGTCTTCTTTGGTCATCGACATGTGGGCTTTGAGCCAAGTCCCATCACGCTTGACAAACGCAACTACTGTTTACTTAAAAATGGAACATTTTTATTTCCATGGGCCTTCTAATTATATGTATTTTAAACCTGCCAGGATGATAGCTGGTTAGATGAGGTTATATTTACTTACAGACTGAGGTGCAAGCCATTGCCGAATCACGGACAGAATTGTTTCATCGTGTAAGGGTCGTCGGCCCAGTGTACTGCTTGTGACCAGTGGATATCCCACAATTCACACAGCGATCCATAGTTTGAATAATATCCAATCCACAAGCCAGCGGTAAAATCTAAAATAACAATTCCAAGTCAAACGTGTGAGCAATCCTCGGTGTTCTTCGATGGGGTAGGCAGGGTGAGAATCCGTAAAATATATGGCAGTGGTCGTGAAAAATGACGAATAATCGGGAAAGCACTCAAAACGCATCGGAAAACACGAAACGAGTGAGCAAACAAGAACAGTCGGCAACTGTCTTTGTCAATGTCAGTCAGCTGTCATGTCAGTGACATATAAGAGAGATCATTATTTATTTTCAAAATACATAATCTAATTACATAATTACTATATATATAAATACTAGAACAATAAAACTAAAACTAAAAACCTTAAAAATAAAATTAATAACTAAAATATATTATTAAAAAGAGTCCCTTTAGGCAAGGATCCGAAGATACTGGCAGCGTTACCCCTTTGAATGGCTAGACTAATTCTTTGTCCGCGGTAGCTGCCAGCTCTTAGGTCTGCTGTGATGTCGACTAACCTTTTTGATATTTCCTTAAATAGCCTTAAAGCGCTAGGACCCCACGGACCAAGGGTCTCGACACCGAATGGGACTAAATCATATTCGGAGCCTAGACCCCTGTATTTGCTTGCTTTTGCTTTTTCAGCCGCTTCACAAGCCGCACCAGCTCTGTTGTTGGTTCCATATAGATGGGAAGGGGCCAGCGTGTCTGAACAGGTTGCATCCCATACCAGCACCCGACCCATCTTCCATGGAATCAAACTCATACCGTCTGGTCTCTTGCCATCGTCTCTTGCAATACCAGTCGGTTCAAGCAGACTTGGCACGTTGACAGTGGCAAGGGACCGGCGTATGATATCATTAAGTGCGGCATGTCTCGAGAAGCGGCCTGCACTTTTTTGGCATGAAAGTCCGTGATGTCCTAGTTTGTCGACATCACTGCCACAGGGACATTTATGAGGAGCACAGACCGGGACCCCAAGCCGTAGACAGGTTGCGATTCGGAGCGTGTCAGGCTCAAGAAATGTACCTGTATTTGACGAGGGGTACGCGTGAAGCCAGTAGCCGGCCTCGTGCGCACCCACGGCCAAAAGCCTAGCACGCGTCGAACCTGTACTACAGCTCAAAAGGTTATCATAAGTCAATTTACAGTTAATGTCATCCCAGCTCCTCGAGAAACTGGAAAATTTTGACCTGGGCATGCAATTAAGAAACCGTTTCTAGCTTCTTCCAAGCCAGCAATCTCAAAGTTTGAAGGGGATGCCCTTAAAATTTTACTTATGAGATTTGCTGAACTATGGACAGAAGATAGGAAGGCTGGTAAAGCGACACTGGAAATTTTGCGAATCCCTAAACCGCCATAACGGATGGGTAGGGATGCTTGGGTCCAAGATTGCTCGTTAAGCTGCATATTAAGAATCGATTCTAAGTTATTTTTGATTAAGTCGTCGACTTGTGTCAAAAGATCTAGATGATTCCAAAAGGAGCAGCAACGGAGGACATACGTAAATTTTGGGACAAAAAGACAGAATTTTAAGATACAAAGTGCATGATGTGGACTAATTTCAAGGAGACGGTCAGCGGAATTTTTATTTAATTATTAATATATTCAGAAATAGATTCATCAAAAATTGGAGAACCTAAAAGGTAAAGGGAATTACTATTAACTATTTTAATATTAAATTTTTGTTTTACGTCATTTAAAGGACAATGGGCAAAATTGTATGGACGCTGCACCCACGTCCGCCACGGTTTAAACTACATTTGTTTAAAAGGTATTATAGTCATAATCATCTGTGCCAAAGCGCATCAAATTCTATCCTGGGGGTCTTTAGTTATTTTAAGTTAAATAGGTGCAAGTTCATAGGTCAACGTAACTATAACTAACTACGATCTATTATTTGATGACCTCCGTGGTGGAATGGTATGTACGCCGGCATCATGTAATGGTATCATGGTGTCGCCGACTCGAGGGGTCCCGGATTCAAATCCTGGTGAGGGCAGATGTTTGTGTGATGAGTACGAGCATTTGTACTCCAGTCATGGATGTATAATATGTATTTCTATATCAATATTCTTATATATGTACTGCATATGTATTCTATTCGTTACCCTAGCATCCCATAACACAAGCCATACAGTGCTTACTTTGGGGCAAGGCCAATCGGTGAGTGTAAAAAAAGGAATTAATTATGAAACATTATTTCATTTCAAATATTTTTAATAATCTTCATCCACAGTGTCTAAGAAGAGAGCCGGTCTGTGAATATCCTCGTCATGTCTTGCCAGACATAAAAACCATATGACCACCATAACATGAGCACAGCAGCCTAAAGTGCAGTTTCCCGTTTAGCATGAGCATAATGAATAAAATAAGTAATAATGTTTTAATACATTTATTCCATACTCGTCTTCATTTATCAATATATAGGAGTAATAGAGCTTAGACCTCGTATGCCTCGAATCTATTTTTGCTCGCAAAAGCCACAGATTTTATGGCAAGCACGGTTATTTCATTCAGCCAATGTCAAGTAAAAGATCCTTCTTTTACTTAACATTGGCTGAATGAATGCATATATGCAGAAATGCATTTAAATAGATCCGTAGATTTTTTATTGGCTAGTACGATTATAATGACGTACGTGATGATAATCGTGTTCCTATTTCCAAAGCGTGTTAGTTAAATATTAATGAAGTAACAGGGAGCGCACAAAAAGTAAGACATATAACTGCATAAGAGTAGACTAGTTGGAACGGCAACTGCAAATATCACATCCTTCAACCCCCATACCCTTACCCTGTTAAACGTTTTTAGGCGTCTCAGTAAGTGCAAGCAGCAAGCAAGCAGGATATTCGGTAGGCTTTGTTGTATAGTATTTTGTATCTGGTTGTATAGTAAGATATGACTCACATTATTATGGCTAATATTATATAACGAAAGTACTACTGATTTTGAATGAATTTATTTAGCTATTTAATAATGCCCATGTGTGCAACCGGCCGCCGTGACTTACACACGACTGATGGTTTTCTTTAAGGTCTATGTGCGGAAACCTTAACCCCTAATATAGAACATGCCCATATGTATATCTTTGACTCCCAGGATATTTTTTTACGGTGTCATAATAAAAAAAAAGGCTAGTTTTTCATAGATCTATCGATTCATACTAATTACATTGTTGGCGGAGCTGGGTGCGTTTTGCCCATTGTCCTTTAAGTCATAGTTATTTAAAAAAAGTTCGCATTTGCTAAAATTAAGCTCCAAACCGATGGCTTCAAATTTGTTTTTGATTAAAAAAAGGTCCGAAAACACAGTATCCACATCACCTCCTAGGGTTCCGTCGTCCAAGTACCAAACGTTAAATTTAGAATTTAAATTTTTTATTATCGGATTTATAGCCAAACTGAAAATTGCAGGCCCAAGGGGATCACCCTGTTGACAACCTACTTCCGAGGACAGTTCATTAGAACGATATAACAATTTTGTTGGGTCAGCGTAACTGAGAAGAAGATAATTGTATATTTCCGGTATAAGTTGTTTTATTTCCGTCAGCAGGGTATCCCTATTTACCGAATTGAATGCATTTTTGACATCAATTTTGAGCAAGACGTCAGGCTGTCCGTAAGTTAGGAAAGAGCGTAGGGCATGGACGGCTGCCTCACACCCTCCTTTTACACCAAAGCCTAACTGTACGGGTTCAAATTCCGAATTTAATTTTGGTAAAATATGTCGAAGAGCAATTTTGGAGGCCAGACGTCGTAGTGTTGATCCAACAGCAATTGGTCTCACCCCTCCGTCCTTTTTGGTGAGGGCAATGAGGTTCGCGCCGAAAAGAATGGGAACAATTTCCTGATTGACATTACCGGAATACATAAAGTTGATTAATTTAGTGATCGAATTTATAAGTTGCTTGCCTGCATCACCCACAGAATGCGACGTTAAGTCTTTCAAATGTTGGGGTGAGATTCCATCCAAACCTGCCGCCGAACCTGGTTTAAAAGATAAAATGGCATCCGTAACATCTTTGTTTTGAATTTGAAGGCATGCTTGCCCTGCTGTTGGTGGATAGAGAAAATTGGTCAAAAGGTCCATTGCCTGTTGGTCTACCGTTGGGTTCCAGTCCGAATCGTAAAATATCACAGTGTCTGCAGCAGTCAAATTGATGCCAAATCCTCCAGCGCGTGTTGACAGTAAAAATACGAAGATATCAGCACGGGCTTGGAAATCTGCTACCATGTCGCGACGTGCAGAAATTTTACTAGAGCCATCTGATCTCATGTATTTGTGTTTACTGTGCCATATGTATTCCTCTAACAAGTCAATCATCTTAAGAGAGATTAGAATCAATAATCATTAATATTGGTTTTTCAGTAATTAATTGTTATTTGATTTATTAATATGACTGTAATTATATGCACTATATTGCATATATGTATATATGTTGCATTTAATTACTTTGAGTTAGTTGTTTAGTGCAAAAGTTTTGTTTTCGTAACTGTGTAATCGATTACTGAATCGATAATCTCACGAAAACTTTCTTTCTCATATTTCTCCGCTTTCAGATCGAGAATTGAAGTGATTTTTTATATTCTTAGATAAAAAAATATGACTAATTTTTTAGCTCATATCTCAACTTATTACATTTGGGCCTACCGTTTTCCATCTCCTTTTATAGTTTTTGCGTTAGTAATCACATTTATAGCATTAGTAGGATTTAAAGAATATTTAGGCAGCGAACAAAACAAATAAAAATAACAAACCAAGGTTTTGTCGTTAAAAAAAAGTAAAAGAAGGTGGAAATTGTGGATAAATGTGTGCACAATATTTTTAAAAGCTTTTATTTAACTTGGAATGTACCTATGTGTGTTTTTTGTTCGGGTGGAATCTAGCAACTCATTTTTTCTACGCAGTTGAATTCGCTAGTACCAGCAGTTATATAAATTAAAGGTTGGTGTATTTATTAGCCCTAACGTGGATTGGATAAAGGGCTCATATTGACCTTCTGGGTTATCTAGTCTGCCTCCGCACTTTGCACGTTATCCTACTAGAATAATGAATGTTTTTTTTTGCATTGAAGGAAAAATAGTGCGACTATTGTTTTCTTTTATTTTGATTTGACATATATTTAAAAAAGCAAACGTGGATGGAACTCGTTTAGAACGAAGTTAAAAATATTTATATACCCAGAAATCATCCGCACTGAGGCCGCGTGGCCCGTCAATTCGCACTGGGGCCGTGTGGCGAGTCATGGGCCAATCCCCCTAACGCATAAAAAATACGGGCGGCCGTTGGTAATAAAATATAAAAAATAACTTTGGAAATTAGTCCACTCCTTATTTCTGCACATCTTTCATGATTGTAGTGTGAAAGCACTAACTACTACCGCCAATACACCATTAAGTCCCTAATAGCATACTTACAGGATGGGTGACCAAACATTATTATATCGGGCTCCTTCATCGTTTGCAAGGCCCGCATGGTGATCGTAGGTCATGGCTCGATCTCTCAGTGGTAACATTAATAGTCTGATAATGATGATTATGAATCATCATCACCAGCCTATTAATGTCCCCACTGCTGGGGCAAAGACCTTCCTTATGGATGGAATAGGGATATTGGGCCATGACCTACCACGCGGGCCCAGTGCGGATTGGTGGGTGCTAACGACTGCAGATGCAGTTGTTGGTCAACAACTTAACATGCCTTCCGAAAGTTGCCACTGCGAAAGTTGCTTAACTTCAATGATCACAGACGAACTCTAACCACTTGCGCCATCGAGCTCCTCAATTGATGATTATGAATAAGTCACTGCAATCATTTACAGTAGAGGATACATAGCCGCTGGCGATGCTCCAAATTTAGAAAAACAAACGATGTCCATTTTCTTCTTTTTCTTGTTTAAACGTTACTTTGATAGCTTACTTTTTTAAGTAAGTAGGTATTTTTAATGCTTAATGACTGATATGCTTTATTAGCTCATAATAGTGGAAACGTTAATACATGTCTTAAATAACATATTTACGTGCTGGCATTAAAGTTTTAAACGGTAACGCAAGCAAAATTCTTACTCATTAAAAATAATTACAAATTGCAATAATTAAAAATGACCTTGTTTCGAGTAAACTCATCTGTGATGCCTGTCCAACGATATTACCAAGATTACCACAGACTGTAATATTACAGTGGCAACAAAAAAACTTCAACATTATGATGCTACATGCCGTGAACTGTGACCATGAAGTTATTTATTTAATGTCTTTACTGACACTTTAAAATCGAGGGGAATGGAGTAACGTTACTATATTGTCTATGTATCACAAATATGTCACTAGTATTGCCAATCTGCTTTTACCACCCTTGGCGATTAGTTCCGTAGATGGCGTATTGGGGGTTAACCCGGAAAATAGCGTCGCGATTCTCTTTAGCACGACACCACCTCCCACGCGTTCTCTTCCGAGCATCCAATTATTAGAGCGGATCATCCGCTGGGACGACCAGGAGGAACAGCATACACACTCAAAAAACAACAAAAAGAAACTCGGAATGCTAGCTTTCCACAATGAGACGGAAAATGCGTTTCGTTAATAACCCTCTGCTCAGATTACTCATATTCAGTGGCCAAAGTCAAAGCCAAATTTCTTGATTCAAATCGCATAAAACAACTCATTTGAATCGTCCAATTTTCTCTAGTAGTGGGAGGTTCTGATCTTTCTGGAATACAAAAAATAAACTGTATTTCCACTAAGTACAGTTTTGTGTTGATTGTTCTTGTGCAGTACGTCTTGCATTTGTATATTTGAGTGTACAAAGTATTTATTTGAAGGTATATTCGCATTTAATAGAACTGCAACGTATATTTAAATAATTACTTCTACTTCTCACAGTATCTAAGTGTCATAATATCTTATATGGAGGATTGCGGACATTACAGAACTAACTTTCTCCAGAAGCAACAGTATGAAGTGGTATTAGTCACTATTTAGAGTTGTTAATATAATTTGTGATCGGCCGTCGTCCATCAATCAGAGGCTGCTAACGTAACTTCAGATAATGTCTTCTTCACAGCCCACGCTGACACCCACTCGCTACCTATTGTACTCAAATACAAAGAAAAATTACACCAACTTATCTCACTGTACCACGATGATTCTTA